GTGCTTGAAGAAAGGGATGGGGAGAGGAATGCTCAAATATTTTAATGGTTTTTGCTCATATTACATATATTTGGTGAAATTTGATATTTTTTTCCAAAAACAGAGGGTCTGAGGAGGTCGGCCCGGCGTCTAAGACTAGGTTTCAGACTCTTAGATTCTACCCGGGTTGCATATTGCAAGGAAATTTTGGTAAAAAAGAAAGGGAAAAAAATGCGCAAATTTAAAGTTACAACAATAAGTTTCAAAATTATAAACAGAAAATTTATGTTTTCTTACAATATAAGGTTTCTAATGCTGGAGTCTTTTCTAAAGCTTTTATTGGGTCTAAATGAGCAGTTAAGCCTGGCTTTACAGTTTTATCTAGGAGTTTATATGATTTCTTACCACAAATACATCAAGCTGTCTTCTCAGATCAGTTGTTTGATGAATTGGGCTAAATTTGCGATCTTTATCATCCTAAAAACACAGAAGATTAACTTTAAGTATTTTAGAGATTGGGGTATGCAGGTTGCAGATTGCAGAGGTTAGGTCCTTCTAAAAGAAGACTAACTTTAATTGATTTAAGAGGTCACAGTTAGAACCAGCCTTTGGGTCAGGCCATGGTATTTATAATGTTAAAGAGAGTGTTCGCAAAAAATGTAAGGGGGTAAAGGCTTATGTCAAAAACTAACGATGTTGATTGTTACTAATCTTATTTCTATCTTTTGAGTCTATAAGGAGAAAATAGTTAGAAATGTCTTATACATAAGAACCTGGCACCCATACACATTCAGAAAACTGCAACATTCGACTTGGATCATTTAAAAATCTATTTAATTCCAAACAAATCATTCAAATATTACAACCTATAGTTATCAATAATTTTTTGACTCATTTTTTGCTAACACTCCCTTTAAAGTAATCAGTTTTATTACCTTTATTATTAAAATACCATTTAATTTTAGATCAAAACCTCCTGAAAATTTTTAAAAGATTACAATAAAAAAACAATTAAAATTCATCTATTACATTTTACAAATAATTTTAAGGTTCATTATTCAGTTAAACACAAAATAAAAGTTTTACTTATTTATTGACAACAGCATTTGTTTCAATCTTTGTTAATATGAAATCATATATTTTTCAAAAACTAACCATTTTTGGAAATTGATGAATCTCTGAATAGAACTGCGGTATCTTTAAATAGTTGTTTTATCATGGTTTCTGTTTCTCTTTGAACAACACTATCAGATCCTTTAACATGTTGCTGAAAAATAAAGTATTTGATATAATACATAATATCACAATTAGGACTATGTGGTAAAACAATCATTAGATTTGGTCCATCCTATTCTGATTAAATTATTTTTATTTCTAGGGGATGGAACTGATTATTCTTTGCTAGAGTTCCTTTTCCCTCCTCACTGCTGAGCTTAAGTTGGCAAAGATTTTTGCATTTCTTTATTGCAACCTTTTTTATTACGCAATTACTCTTAATTATAGGCCAGACATTGTTAACTTCTTGGACACAATCAGGTGTAAACCAAATTTTAATTTAAACTATTGCTGAGAGCATGAGAAGCTGGCAGCAGGGCTGATTACATGTTCATCCTGCCAGCAAGCTAAGACCAGGTTAAAGTTGAACTACATCAGGACAAGTTTTAGGATAGTAAAGTACATTCCTTCTTGAAATAAAACATGGTCCCATCATATCAGTATACAGTCTCCTGCAGCTGTTCTCCTTGTTAAAGGAGACATGAATGAACTGGTTCTGAATTTGCTTTGTAATGGTGGGCTGCAGTATCCTCCTGGTCATATTACCTACCCTTTGAACTTGTATTCTGTATTCTGCTAACTAACAAAGCTTTTTAGAGTTTTAGGGTTATTTTGAACACCATTTTTGGACCTTCCTTAGCTTTTTTTTTTTTTTGGCTCATAGGGTAATCACTTTTGCCCTGTATTCAGAGCAGGGTGAACCAAATCTGATAATTTTATTACGTAACCCTACACGGTAGTTTTACACATCCAGTGTCCAAATTTAATGAATTTGAGCATGGCTTAAATCTTCCAAAAACCGGTTTCAATTGAGCGCCAGGTTAAATCTTGAAAAATTGAATACAATTCATAGTGGAATTAACCATATTTGAGTGGCGGCTTAAGATTAAGCCTCGGCTTTAATTCTTAAAATTTGGCCTCAATAGCCTCTGATCCAATCAGGGTTAACTCACATGCCTAGTGAGTACTCAGGGCCAATAAAAATAGCAAAGGAGATAAGATCAATCTATCTATCTGTCTATTTAATTGTTATTATCAAATTAGAGATCTTTATGTAAACTATCTGCAAATACTAATGGCTTTGTTGATTTATATCCAAACTACAGAACATAACATCCTAGAGACAATTTGATATTAATTTCATCATGATTGAGTAATAACAAAGCTTCTGCGAGTAAAAAGTTTGAAGTGTTTAACACCTGTTGTTAGGAACATTTTCTAATTACTTTATCTTTGGAACCCCAAATCCAGCTGAAGGCTGTAGTTCTAGACCTTTAGTAACAATCAATATAAAAGCATGCCCAGCCCTAACTATAGGTAAAATTCTTTTCTTACTTTCATAGCATTCCACACATATTTATCTAGATAGACTCCAACTTCTACTGTTCTCCTGCTGTAGTTTTTAACTCCTCTGTTATCCACTTTTCTAGATGATAAATACAATGTTGTGTAAATTTTAAAAGTTGCACAATTTAGAATAACTATAAAAATCGAGTTTTTGTTCTTAGATTGCAAAGGTTACATTTAGTTGCTAAAATTTGCTTTATTTGCCAAATATTTCAATCTTTTTCTTTATTTTGTAGAACCGTATCACTGTGTATACCAATCTTTTTAGCAAAATCTTTGCAATATGCACTAAGGCCTAACTTGGCATGCCTAATCTACGTAAATTGGCGTACCTTTAAAATTTGCTATAAAAATATTGTGATGGCAATATTCTTGTACTCTGTATCAAACCAGCATAGTGAATAAACCAATGAATTAAACTTCAGGTATTCATTTATAGAGACAAATCCTCAGTTAAATAGACTAAAAGACTTTGATATAAAGCACTGTAAATTTCAAGCATGAATCTATATAATGTTTCTAGATGATAAATACACTGTAAATTTCAAGCATGAATCTATATGATAAATACACTGTAAATTTCAAGCATGAATCTATAATGTTTCTAGATGATAAATACACTATACATTTCAAGCATAAATCTATATAATGTTTCTAGATGATAAATACACTGTAAATTTCAAGCATAAATCTATATAATGTTTCTAGATGATAAATACACTGTAAATTTCAAAAATGAAACTATATAATGTTTCTATTCATGATTATGATTTTTAATTTTTATTATTCTATGTATTTTCAACCTAATCTATCTCTTACAAATTATTTGCCTGATCAGTTCAGCAGTTTAGAGGTTATTTGAAACAAACAGATGGATAATAAATTTTAAACAGATTATATATAGATGGGATTTAAAAATATTGAATACCTTTGTCCTTGAATGATAGTTACAGCTTGGCTAAACACACAGAAAAGAATCAAAAAACTCATTTCTGAAATATATAATGGCAACTTTTAAAAATTTGTATGAAATACTTCAGTCCTCGTTGTTTAAATCAATACAATGTAGAAGACCTTCGACCTACCAAGTTATCAAACAGCATGGATAAACATAAATTTGTAAAGAAGCTGTCAATTAACAGCTTCTCTTTGTTTACTTGTAAACTTTAAAGCAAATATTATTTCTTGTTGTTTTGATAAATGTAAGTTTTCTTAAGACCAAAATCATGATAGAAATTAAAGGCCAAACTTAAAATTACTACTGTTGTTGTTTTCATTTGAAAAGTCTAAGTAGAATAAAGATCAGTTTTGCTTTAATCTTGCATAGCAGAAATTCAAATGAATTAATAATAAATGTTTTATGATGATTTTTACAATTGAACTGATCAATAGAAATGTCTTTTCAATATTATAAAATTGTCAAAAACTCATAAAATCAGTAGTGATCGATTTCAATTCATGATAATTCCTGCAGAAAAAACTTTGCAATGAATTCATAACTGATTAGTGTCAAATTGGATTCTTACTTGAGGTAGGGTTGTGAGTATAGAAATTGTCTTTAACCAGTAACTAAATAACAAATCTCTCTGTTTCTCAACAGTTTTTTTCCTGTAATTTTCTTCAGATGCACTTAAAGATACTTATGATGTATTTTTAAATCCGATTCTTTTTATTTTAGTTTAATTTTAAGCCCCTCTATTAAATAGTTAAATACCTTTTTCTCTTCACAAAATATTCTGGAAATATCCTTTCTTTTAAATTTAAAAATTTATACAGTTAATACATACAATTTCATACAGCACAGGAAAGGTAAAAAATTGACATACTTCACCTCTCTATACTGTTGTGAATTTTTCAACCCTTTTGAGAGAATTGAACAGTGGTGTTAGTAAAAACAGGAAATACATTTATGAATTTAGCCTCTCACTACAGGAACCCCAGTATTGGATTGCCATAACTTCAACCTTTTCCTAATTACAATTCCTAGGCAAATTGTAAATGCAAGAAACTTCTAAACTACTGAATTGTGAAAAAATGATGAAAAGAATGAAAACTTGTCTGGTTTCTATAATCTATTCCTGTAAAGATAAAATTGGATTGCGTCAAATGCCTGTAAAGCCATTAATGGTTTTTTCAAAATTTGACTAGCTTTAACAAGAATTGTTTCATTTTTTCTTATGTTTTTTAATACACAATTTGAAAGAAAATTTTTGTCAGATGATTTTAGGTTTTTAGGATAAAGCCGATAAATGATAAATTTGAGGGCTCCATAAGTTCTAACGTATATTTTTTTTGTTTGAACTTCGTATAATACTATATAAACATTTTTATTTTTTTTTTACTTTCAACATAAAAACTCTTCTTAAAATTGTAAGGAACACTAAACATGTTTTACCTTAAATGATTTAGACATTTTTTGAGATACAGGAAATGTTTTTTTAGTTTCATATTTATAACAAAATACAATTTTTAGTGACTATAGAAAATTGATACATTTTTTACAATATTCATCTTCTCTGTTAACCCTTATTTACTTTATTAAACTGATAAAGCAATTTGTATTTCTCATTCTGGAAGGTATGTAGAATGCTTTTATTTTTTTTTTAACATGATCTGAGCTGAAAACTAAAGAAATTAATGCTTGATCCTTTCTTTTTCTTAATCTCGAGACTAACTTAATCTTGTACTTATATCCTAAAAAATGTATAAAATTTAACCATTTAAAGTTGCATATATAAAGCCAAGAAATTTGAAATTTTTCGCGCCATTTAAGAATATATACAGAAACGGGAGGGACTCTCTAATTTAAATAACTAGCTTTTGATTTGAGTTATAGGGATTAAGGATATCTCATTCTAAAGTTTTCAGCTCTAATTCAGCTGTAATATTTTCCCCATTCTTTTTGCTGAATTTCAAGCCTGAATTTGTTGTTTTGTAAAAGTTTACATAAACATATAAATTCAAAAAGCAAATTTAGTTGTGTAAAAGTGTTCACATTTTTATGCTGGTTTACCTTTTCTCCTAGATCTTTCAAAATCATATTTCAAAATAGTTATCCTTCTATCCCCAAGTGGGAGCAAACAAATTGCATGGTTTAAACAATGTCAGAGCTTGGAACTTATGTATTTAATACTCAATTTCCCAACCCCTTGATCTTGATCCATTGTAAGCACTTTTATTTTGATGATCTTTAAAAACCATATACTTCATATTTTCATAATCAAAGCTCCCTTTAAACAATTATACTGCAGGTTGGATTGTCTATCGTTATAAAAAATGATAATAAATCAATCACAATAAACTAACCATTTTTTTTGAACTTTTAAAATACAAAAAAGAAAACACCAATACAATCATTTTTGAAAAGATTTTCACTGATGACTGAGTTTTATGACAATTACTTTCAATTTTTTTTATGAAGATAAGTTAATGAATGTCATCTTAAATGTTTTTTTTTACAGAGAGAAATAACCTGAATGTTTGCTGACCCACTATTTTTCTGATCTAAGGGTTTTCCAACCAAAAAATGTATGTTGTCTAAAAATGGTTGTGTCTAATAGAAGTAAGTCAATTGAGATGTATGGACTACAATACATAGGACAGACAACAATATCTTTAGATTAATGAGTGATAGAACACATTGGTTTCAGTAGAAATTTCCAACTGAACCAGCCTACAGCAAAATATTTTGACATTTCTTTTTGGACAGGAACTTTACCATCTAAAAGTAAGCATACTAGCAAGCAAGATTTGGGACCTTTGAATATGTATACTCGAGGTATAAGCACCTATGCACATCATAGACTTTATGACTGAACTGTGAGAAATGAACAGAGGAAAATATTTTTTATTTAATTGTAAACTGTAATTTAGTATTACCCCCACCCCAATGTTCATAAAAGTTTGTTAATTAGATCGACCCCCACCACCACTTTATAAGCATACACATTAACAGTAGTTTCTTTTGAAACTCTTTATGACAGAAACAATCTCAAGGCATTATAATTGTCCTAAAACCTTCTCTAAAATAATTTTCAAAAAAAAATGGAACTAACATCTACTTTAAGAGGTTTGAATTATCTTCAACACTAAATTTTATATAGATGAAGTTAATCTTTTTCAAAATTTTTGTAATTTGTTTATTATTCAACTTAAATTTGCAGATTAATTATTTCCAATTTTTATTACAACTACTTCCAACTTCTTAAACATAAAAACAGTTTCCATTTGTTTCCCTGTTACTCTCACGCCTGTCATATGCATCATCTATTTGCTTCCTACATAAAAATGATTATAATTGTTTGTACTTCGGTATTCAAATTGGTCCTTTGCCACAATTTTGTCCATATTTGTTCCCTATAGAGGCCCCTTCTTCAAATTCTAGAAACCCTTTCATATTATCATTAGTTTCAAGCGTTTGCATTCATTTGTCTAAAGTTATAAAAAGTCATGTATAAACAACTTTGAGATGTGGCTCAAACATGGTTGGTTTCACTTGAAATTGTATTTAATGTTTCAATATTTGAGCTAGCCTTCAATTGAAATCAGTTTTTGAAGGATCAGTGCATTCAGCCGCTTATTTAGTAGAATAATGTCAAGGTGATACTGGCAAAAGAAGCAATAAAGAGAAAGGGGGATCGAGTAGGCTTGCATATTTTTATAACTTACCTTGAACAGGCACTCCATTTTGTATAATCATATCTAACAGTGGGAGTCATTATAGTTTTTCCTGAGCATCCTCTGGCAGATTTAGTTCCATCATGATCAGCTACTCCCATAAGATGTCCCAGCTCATGAGCAAACAATATGTGAGCCCAGTTATGTTTTCCATTCTTCAAACTCAGTGCCATCACTCCAACACCACTCCTTGTATTAGAGTTGATAAAGATGGGTAAGAACTAAGATTAGTCTTCGCAAGACAAATTGTAGAGGTTGTTCTAGATCTCTTAGAGTTGTAACTGTTTTATTAATACTTCACTGTATCTACACCGGCAAACTTCTTGGAACAGACTATATATATATATATACTGAGGATCGTCATGATAGACGTGAAACATTATGTTTAGTATAATTCTTTTTTTAATAAAAATGTGAAGTTAAAAATTGAAATATATATATATATATATCATTCAAATTTGTTACTTTATATCAACCTGTTCCTGGAGGTTGTTTAGCTCCTTTTTCACAACACCCAAAATGTAAGATGTGGACAAGAAAAAGAGTGTAAAAAGAAAATATTCAGAAGCATATTTTTACTTACAAGATAAGAGATATGTGTGTGTAAATTTATCAAAACATGCTTGTATGCAGCTGCAATTTTCAGTGTGCACTGTGTTGAGTTCAAGGTTTATGTAGCACATGAAATTGCAGCTAAATACAAGCAGCAATTCCTGTTTTTACTTACAAGTGGCAAACCCTATCAACATGAGAATATCCAGATGATCCTGAACATAAAAATAAGTTTTTAAACAAACTTTAAAATAAATTGAAAATTTTAATGAAATAGATGTTATCTGTCATCATATGATCTCTATAGTAACTATGGCTAGCTAAAACGGATTTTAGAATATTTTAAAATATTTTAAAGGAAAGAAAATCGCATGAAGGCTGCCAATCACCATAATTAAAATAGTTCGGTGCGAGAGCAGAAAAAATCTTTCAGGATCCATAATGAAAGCCCTAAAATACTCACATACAATTATCCTAAACTTAGCACTATTACAGGAAAGCTGTTACAGGAAGTCAAGAAAAGCTTGATCAGTAATTTAGGTTGTGTATAGTTTAGAAAAGAAATGTATTACTTCATTTCTCACACTATTAATGTTTTCCTTTTTTCCAGAGCCCGCAATTAAAAAAAATGGGAAAATATGGCTCTGGTCTGAGCTGTCGTTCTTATTTACGGCTTGAGCTTTCGGATTCAAGCTGCATCCCATTTTCCACAGAGTTGAGTTTCAAAAACCAGTTTAATATTCTATTTAGCGGATTTTCATGGTAGGAATTGGCGCATTCCGGGTATTTCTGAGAACAAGACTCAACATTGTGTATTATTTTCCACTAAAACCAACCAAGGTCGGTTTTATTTTCATTGAGCCTAAACTCCTTAGGTCTTGCAGCTGTCAATCATGTGACACAAGCTGTCGTTAGAGTTGGGTCTTAAAGTCGGGTTCAAGGAATTATGACTCAAGCAGAAGCTTTTAAACCGTGGGCTCAGGAGGAAAACATTTCTCTTTTAGGTTATTACCTCCTCTATTATTTCCAGTCAGAAGGAAACTTATGTCATAACTATTCCTTTTTTTGTCATCAGGGTTGTTTCTTGATTCAGCATATTTCTGAGATGAAATGAAAAACAAATTTCAGATGTAAATTGTTTCTTCAATATAGAATATGTCTAAAAATGTGCTCAATCTTGTGTGGGCAGAAGTTGTGAAATAGGGTAAACATTTTGCCCAAAAAATTCTTGTGCACAATTTACCTTGGACATTAAATTCCTTAAATATTGCGGGATAATTTTAGTAAATAAGAAAGGGGGAAAAATGTGCAAATCGGAAGTTAACTCTCATGGTACCCAGCTATTTTTTTTACCATACTAAAGCACCAACAGGGGGTCAATTTGGCCCCACAACATTTTTTAATGTTTTAGGAATTTTTCTTTCTCTATATTATAGATTATTATTTTAGATCTATGAAGAAAAAAATTGATATCACTATTTATTCATTAAGTAAATTGGCTTTAAATTTGTTATGCACCATTCCTTGGATTTTTGCTTTCTGTAGTGTATTATATGTCTACCTTTCTTTCTAAATTATCATTTTTCTTTTTATATCTATACTATTATTACATTTATTTATATTTCATTTATTCAAGCATTGCTGGTGAAAAAAATTTATGATAAAAATTTTTGAAAAAGAATTTTTTTAAATTTTAAATTTTTAATTCTTTATAGCCTATTACATCCCCCGGCCACCCATGAGTGTCCACACAAAAATTCAGCCCATTCGGTCAAGCATTTTGGCTGGCTATATGCAACATATATATGAATGTCTTGTTTTATTGTATAGATTTGTAATCTATAAAATAAAACATTCTTATATAAATATATATATATGTTGCCTGTAGCCCACCAAACGGCTGGACCGATTGGGCTGAATTTTTTTGTGGACACCCATATAGATTGAAAAAAATCAAAAATGAATTTTTTCCAAACTAATTTTTTTTCCAAATTAAAAAATAAAAATTCCACAGGCAATGCAGGGCTGTTCAGCTTGTATAAACTAATATGGAATATGTGCTATAATTAGTATGTGTGTATATATAAAGTAAGATTTTTTAAATTGTAGGTTTAAAGGTATACATTTTTTTCTTTTTTTTTCTTTTTATAATTTTTGTAATTTTCGGTTTTTCAGTTTTGTTATTATTTTGAGATATTTTGTGTACCTTGTAGTCTTTGGAACTTTATACGACTATAAAGTATCCAACATTACCCATACATCTATATTTTCTATATTCTTCCTATTCTTCCTTTTTTTTTAAATTGTGGGAATATTTTCACACGGTGTCCAAAAGTTAAATTCCTTGCATCAGTGACACATTATTGGATGACTGTTGCCGCCTGCAGTAAAATTTTCACTTTTAAGACCCAAAAGGGGTCAAATTTGCCAATTTCGATGAAAAACAAATTTTTGAAAAAACTTTATTTTCAGAAATAAATCTTTTATCCAAAATAATAGTTGCGCTAGAATTTCAGTGGGGGTTCGTTGGGACATTTTTTGAGTTAGTGAGTAAAAACAAAACCCTGGGTCAATTTGACCCCCTGTTGGTCCTTTGAGGGTTAAGTAACACAGCAATAAGTTTCAAAATTTCTCATCCTGGTGACTTTGCTAAGGCTGTTATTGGGTCTAAATGAGCAGTTAAGTCTGGTTTTACAGTTTAATAGGAGTTAACATTTGAAAAATCTCTAACCTGGAAAACGTCAAGTTGTCTTCCTTGATCAGTTGTTTCATGTATCGGGCTAAATTCACGATCTTTATCGTCCTAAACACACATTTTTTTGCAGCAGTGGGGTCCTAATATCTTATTAATCAAATTTAGGAAATCAGTTTCATTACCTTTATAATCATAATACCATTTACAACAAGATCAAAACCCCCTGAAAATAATGGAAAAAACAATTTTATATAAAATTAATTTTAAATCATCTAATACATTTTTCAAATGAAATTAAGTTTGAATACTTTGTTAAAATCAGAATAAAATTATTACTTGACTACAGCATTTGTATTAATGTTTGTTAATATGAAATCATATATTTTTTTAAAAACTAACCATTTTTGGAAATTGATGAATCTCTGAATAGAACTGCGGTATCTTTAAACAGTTGTTTTATCATGGTTTCTGTTGCTCTTTGAACAACACTATCAGATCCTTTAACATGTTGCTGAAAAATAAAGTATTTCATACTCATATATTAAGAATAGTAGAAAGGAACTTGAATATCGTCTTCCCCCTGGAAACTGTAAAAATCCAAACCAAACAAAAAACCCCTGCTAACACATTCATTCCTGTTTTAAGGATTTTTGATAATAAAAACGACATTTTAATACTTTATAGGAACACAGTTTGTAAGGGAAATATTAAAAGAAAAAAGAAAAAAATGAAAAACTAACGAATAGAACACATTCTTAAAAATGTTGAAACAATATTTAAATTAACAAAAGATGGACAAACACAAATTGGTTGAAAAATACAGTCTAATTCCAGGAACTAATTTCATATCTTAAGGAATAAAGTCTTTGCTCCAAACTCATTCTAGAACTTCAGGAATAAACAATTTAAACATGCCCAGCTCTAACTATAAACATGCCCAGCTCTAACTATAAACATGCCCAGCTCTAACTATAAACATGCCCAGCTCTAACTATAAACATGCCCAGCTCTAACTATAAGTAAACATGCCCAGCTCTAACTATAAACATGCCCAGCTCTAACTATAAGTAAAATTCTTTTCTTACTTTCATTGTATTCCACACATATTTATCTAGATAGACTCCAACTTCTACTGTTCTCCTGCTGTAGTTTTTAACTCCTCTGTTATCAACTTTTCTAGATGATAAATACAATGTAAATTTCAAGCATGAATCTATACTGTTTCAAGATGATAAATACACTGTAAATTTCAAGCATGAATCTAAAATGTTCCTAGATGATAAATACACTGTAAATTCCAATCATGAATCTATATAATGTTCCATAGATGATAAATACACTGTAAATTTCAAGCATGAATCTATAATGTTCTTAGATGATAAATACACTGTAAATTCCAAGCATGAATCTTTAATGTTCTAAGATCATAAATACACTGTAAATTTCAAGCATGAATCTATATAATGTTCCTAGATGATAAACGCAATGTAAATTTCAAGCATGAATCTATATAATTCTTCTAGATGATAAATACACTGTAAATTCCAAGCATGAATCTATAATGTTTCTAGATGATATATACACTGTAAATTCCAAGCATAAATCTTTATAATGTTCCTAGATGATAAGTACACTGTAAATTTCAAGCCTGAATCTCTGAGATCTGTGTGCTAATCCATAGTTTTGAAATATTAATCATCATGATGACTTTAAAATTAGACTTTTGATACTGTTTATTTCCAAACTATTTTTGCATAGCAGACAATCTACCAAAGTATATAAATTTAAAGATGGGATTTAAGAATATACAATATTGAATACCTTTGTCCTTGAATGATAGTTACAGCTTGGCTGAAAACACAAAAAAGAATAAAAAAATTCATTTCTGAAATATCAAATGAAAAAAATAGAAAATTTGCCAAAGTAACCAGTAACAAAACAATTGTTTACAAATATATTTTTTTTGAATCTTTATAGAATATTTTAAATCAAAATTATTAAAAACAAATATAATTTTATCAGCTTTGGCTAAAGAAGCATAAACCAAAATTAAACCAACGGCCAAGTTTAAAGATTTGAGCCGCGGCTCAAATACGGTTGGATCACTTGAAATTTAATTCAATTTTTCAATATTTAAGCCGGCGTCTAGTTGAAACCGGTTTTTGGTGGGTTTAAGACTCAGCACAAATTCATTAAATTTGGACTCTGAAAGTTTAAACCAAATCCAAATGTGCTTTTAAACCAAAGTTTCATTTTTTTTTTAATTTCAAATAATACTTAATGTATGCTTCAGAATAATTTGTATTTCAAATTTTTAAAAAAAAAAAAATTAAAGCTTTGCCCTGTGTTTTGAAAACAACAGAAACATTACTGTTTTGATAAAGAAACCGAACTACAATGAAAATTTAAAAAATCCATTTAATTTAAATACAGGAATTTTAAAATTAAATGATTTATTATAATATTTTTTACAACTCAACAATTCTAATAAAAATGTCTTCTTTCAAATATAAAAATGTCAAACCTTGAAAGTCATAAAATCAGTTTTCTTTCTAATTCATGATATATATTAGACACATGATATATATCAGACACATGATATATATCAGACACATGATATATATCAGACGCATAAAATATATATCAGACACATGATATATATATCAGACACATGATATATATCAGACACATGATATATATCAGACACATGTAATATATATCAGACACATGTAATTTTGCAAATCATTTGTTTTTATAATGATTGCAGAAAAAGTAGATTGTTCACAAAGGATAAATGAACAAAATGAAATAAAACTGAATGTGCCAATAAATGTAAATTATCTAATAGGGCGTGTTGATCTCAATATTATTTGTGAAACCTCTATCTGATCAATACTGTAGAAATTATTTTCGTTTATCTAGTATTTAATTCTTATAATTCCTTTCTATTTTCCTACAGTAACAATGCGCAAGGCACTTTTACAGAAAAATTGCACAATTAAAAATTACCATCTTTCAAAATTATAAACATTGATATTTAATTTATACTTGATCAGACATTGCTTTTAATGGTATTGTTGTGAATGATGCATTGCCTTTTTGAATATATTGCAGTTTTTCTGCATCTATCAGAAAAATGTATGCAAATTCTCTATTACTCTCTTTATAAAAGCAAAACTCGTGTTCACAAAGGAACTGCTGACAGTTTTTTTCCTCAAAACCATTTATTGTTAACATATTTCATTTAAATTTTTTTTTCCAATAAAAAGGAAATTGAGTTTTTGCCACCAACTCAAATATTCTAATTAAGATTGTCTATTCAATGAATTTTTGATTTAGTTTTGTGATGCCTAGAGGAAACCTGTAATCTTTAGTTTAGTTTTGTGATGCCTAGAGGAAACCTGTTATGTTTAGTTTAGTTTTGTGATGCCTAGAGGAAACCTGTTGTCTGTAGTTTAGTTTTGTGATGCATAGAGGAAACCTGTTATCCTTAGTTTAGTTTTGTGATGCCTAGAGGAAACCTGTTATCTGTAGTTTAGTTTTGTGATGCCTAGAGGAAACCTGTTATCCGTAGTTTAGTTTTGTGATGCCTAGAGGAAACCTGTTATCCTTAGTTTAGTTTTGTTATGCCTAGAGGAAACCCGTTATCTGTAGTTTAGTTTTATGATGCATAGAGGAAACCTGTTATCCTTAGTTTAGATTTGTGATGCCTAGAGGAAACCTGTAATATGTAGTTAAGTTTTGTGATGCCTAGAGGAAACCTGTTATCCGTAGTTTAGTTTTGTGATGCCTAGAGGAAACCTGTAATCCGTAGATTAGTTTTGTGATGCTTAGAGGAAACCTGAAATCCGTAGTTTAGTTTTGTGATGCATAGAGGAAACCTGTGATCCGTAGTTTAGTTTGGTGATGCCTAGAGGAAACCTGTTATCTGTAGTTTAGTTTTGTGATGCCTAGAGGAAACCTGTTATCCGTAGTTTAGTTTTGTGATGCCTAGAGGAAACCTGTTATCTGTAGTTTAGTTTTGTGATGCATAGAGGAAACCTGTTATCCTTAGTTTAGTTTTGTGATGCCTAGAGGAAACCTGTTATCTGTAGTTCAGTTTTGTGATGCCTAGAGGAAACCTGTTATTTGTAGTTTAGTTTTGTAATGCCTAGAGGAAACCTGTAATCCGTAGTTTAGTTTTGTAATGCCTAGAGGAAACCTGTAATCCTTAGTTTAGTTTTGTGATGCCTAGAGGAAACCTGTTATCCGTAGTTTAGTTTTGTGATTCTTAGAGGAAACCTGTTATTTGTAGTTTAGTTTTGTGATGCCTAGAGGAAACCTGTAATCCGTAGTTTATTTTTGTAATGCCTAGAGGAAACCTGTAATCCTTAGTTTAGTTTTGTGATGCCTAGAGGAAACCTGTTATCCGTAGTTTAGTTTTGTGATGCCTAGAGGAAACCTGTTATCCTTAGTTTAGTTTTGTGATGCCTAGAGGAATCCTGTTGTCCGTAGAATTCTTCTGAATCAGACAAAACAAAAACTTAACAATGACGATCTCAATGTCGTCGTTATTCTCATGTTTATTTGGAAACCCTGTAAATCAAAAACAGATTGTCTGTACAAAAATTTAGCTTAGAAAGGGTAAAGATATCTTTGATTTTGTCATGGATTTATATATTATAAGTATTTTTGGGTAATTTATTTAACAACATTTAGAGGGGCTGATATATCTCATGATTCAATTCATCATTTAAATATTTGACCTTCAAATATTTTATTTTTTATTGAGACATAATTAATTATTATTTTTTACTTTTATTTTATGTTCAGATGATCGAACTTTAAACATAAAAAGTTACACATGTTTACAATTTATGAATGTTTTACATAAAATTTGAGTTTTTTTCGATGATCTTAAATCAGTTAATGCAAGAGGAAAAAGCTAAGGTTATACTTCATTAAAAGAGCCAAACATTGTATAGGACCAAATGGAATTGAGTCTTTGCCACAAACTCAAATTTTCGAATCCCTATTTCTTTAAAACCTAAATGTATCAACCTCTAACATGTTTGGTTGCGAAGATATTGGGATTAGAAAATCAGAATATGTGGCATAGACTGAATTTCTTTGCAGTCAAAATTGTAATGCTATTAAAAAAACAAATTAACAAATTTATATATTTTAAAATGTTTTCTTCTTTCAGAATTCGATATAAAACTGCGTCAAATTTATACGAAAATTCAAATATATACAATCATGTATAAAAGCTGCAGTATAAAACAGATCATATTCCACAAATACGAAACCAATCTGAAAACGACGATCACAGGTTTGCTCAAATTATAATTTTCAAGTTTTTATTTTGCATATTTAATGGATATAATTGATAATATTATTACATACAAAATTCTGTTAAGTTCGTATCGACCACTATAACTTCAGCGAATGGCAGTGCAGTATACTGGTCATGTGATTTCTGTCTTCATCACGTGACCAGTATACTGCACTCTCATTGGCAGAAGTTCTTGTGACACAATACGAAATTTTTAATAATATAATCAATTATATCTATTTAAAATGCAAAATAAAAAAAAATGATAATTTGAGCAAACCTGAGATTCTAAGGTTTCTGTGGTATATAATCGATTTCAGATTGTTTGCGTATTTGCTGAATATAATCTGTTTAAACCTACTACTTTTACGCAAAATTTCATTTAAATGCATTTTCGTATAATTTTGACACAGTTTTATATCAATTTCTCGAGACAGGAACATCAGATGTCTTATATTTATGGTTCAACGCCTGAGATTCTCAGATTTTATTCTATACCCCCTTTCATTTTTCCTTTACAGTCCCTTTAAAAGACAAATACTATAACAAAATACTAGCAAATTACACGAATTTAAAGGGGCTGTAGCATAGTTTCAGATGGCCTTCATGTGAAGATGGCTAATTCATTCTTGGTCAGAAAAAGCTTTTAACCCTAAACAGAAGGGGGGGGGGGCGTCAAATGTTCCCGCCCTCTAGTTTTTTTGTCCAAGCACTCTCATTTTTACACTATCATCGTAAAATTTCGTGACTTTTAATGAATAGAAATTTAAAGGATTTTTTGTAAAATGTTTTTTTTCCATGCATAGGGTAAAGTACACAGGGCGGTAAAAAGTCCGGTCCGTGTTAACAAAATTTTAAACATCCGTTTTTTGAGGTTAAAGCTACAGATCTAAAAACTATATTTTAAAAGGCCCTTGAAAAATGGATGTTATAGAAGCATGCGTCACACTTTGATATTTGTTTAAAACAAGAAAAAAATATATTTTACATTTTTTGAGCCTTTTTTGGCAATTTTTTTAACCCTCCCTAGCATCCAAACAATTACCATTATCGGTCTAATTTTTTTTTTTAATGAGCTGGCCTTAAATAAATTGGGCTATGAACTGAACATGCATTTCAACCCTATGCCTATTCTCTAAGGCCTTTTTCTAGGGGGGGGGAGCATGGGACGCCCCCCCCCCAGCTATACATAGATTCAGAACCTCCAGCCTTTATAGTGTTAAGGGAACCATTGAGAATCGGTTATTGGCATGAAGGGTAAATATTATTCTAAATAAGGATTTTATTAAAGAACATGAACATTTTTAACATAACTTCAGAATGTCAAAAAACCAAGAATGAATGTTTGCAGAAAACTGAAAATGGAGTCTGGGAAAAATCATTATCAATGAGATGCTATCGGAGACCCCCAGAGTTTTATTAGAAACCCCCAGATTTCATTGGAGACTCTCAGATTTTAGTTGGACACCAAGATTTTATTGGAGACCCTCATGAAAAGCAATGAGGTCTCTAATGTAAATCTGGGATCTCAGATGAAAAGGTTGGGGTATTCAATGAAAATCTTGGGATCTCCAATAAAAATCTAAGGGTTTTC